CCTGCCGAAATGGGATGATACGCACTAAGTTACAGAGGTGCTTCTGGAGGTGTTTGGGTGGAGGAGGAAGAGAGGGCTAGGCCCCGGGTCTTGCCTCTCCGGTGGATGTGTATGCGTGAGGGTGTGTGTTAGCTAAGAGAGTCGATCCCCCCTGCATGGGGGACTACTGGGGGTCTTATAAGCCGACCCCCACCCAGGGTTACATTGGTAAAGTTACATGTGCGCGGGGCCCTGGTGTCATCGTCTCGGAGCCGTCGGGTCTGATGGGTCCATCGGATGCGGGCCTTGCCAGGTCCGCCCAGCGCGGGCCGTGCCGGGGCCGCCGGACACGGGTCAAGCCGGCTGGACGGTACTGTGGCACGGCCCGTCCTACGTCACGGGTCGGCTGGCGCCACTCAGCTACAGGGTCGCCCTGCTCGGGTGCCGCCCGCCCCGGGCTGAGGTGCGGGGAAGCACTGCCCGCTTCAGCCAGCGCAAAGGAGGGAGCGTTGTAGTCATGCAAGCCTTGTTGCGGAGGGTTGTATCATCGTACGTCCAGAGGGACTGGTTGTCGACTTGTGGCTAGACGACATGGGCTCGCCGGCCGCCCGGGCCAGGTAGCTGTGCCTAGCCGGCTCGCGCTGGGGAGCCGGGGGGTAGGCCGGCAAAATTGAGGGGCGTTGGCTGCCTCGATGTCTTAAAAAGGGATTCCAGTTCCGTTGCCTACCCGGGGGTCATCCACACGATAGGACATTCGCGCACTCCCCATTTATCGGTCACCGCATGCAAGTTGCGTCGCGTCCATCCATTTATCGGTTATTTTTCATCAAGAGATTTCCAGAAAATGGAAGAATTAACCAGTCCAAGTGGGTTCCTGAGGCGAGGTTGGCACGCCCAAGTGTGGGACACGAGACGTACCCAGGTTCGGGAACCTCCGTGGGAGGTAACACTCCTAGTCCTGCCGAAATGGGATGATACGCACTAAGTTACAGAGGTGCTTCTGGAGGTGTTTGGGTGGAGGAGGAAGAGAGGGCTAGGCCCCGGGTCTTGCCTCTCCGGTGGATGTGTATGCGTGAGGGTGTGTGTTAGCTAAGAGAGTCGATCCCCCCTGCATGGGGGACTACTGGGGGTCTTATAAGCCGACCCCCCCCCCCAGGGTTACATTGGTAAAGTTACATGTGCGCAGGGCCCTGGTGTCATCTTCTCAGAGCCGCCGGGTCTGATGGGTCCATCGGATGCGGGGATTGCCAGGTCCGCCCAGCGCGGGCCGTGCCGGGGCCGCCGGACACGGGTCTAGCCGGCTGGACGGTACTGTGGCACGGCCCGTCCTACGTCACGGGTCGGCTGGCGCCACTCAGCTACAGGGTCACCCTGCTCGGGTGCCGCCCCCCCGGGGCTGAGGTGTGGGGCAGCACTGCCCGCTTCAGCCAGCGCAAAGGAGGGAGCGCTGTAGTCATGCAAGCCTTGTTGCGGAGGGTTGTATCGTCGTACGTCCAGAGGGACTGGTTGTTGACTTGTGGCTAGACGACATGGGCTCGCCGGCCGCCCGGGCCAGGTAGCCGTGCCTAGCCGGCTCGCGCTGGGGAGCCGGCGGGTAGGCCGGCCAAATTGAGGGGCGTTGGCTGCCTCGATGTCTTAAAAAGGGATTCCGGTTCCGTCGCCTACCCGGGGGTCATCCACACGATAGGACATTCGCGCACTCCCCATTTATCGGTCACCGCATGCAAGTTGCGTCGCGTCCATCCATTTATCGGTTATTTTTCATCAAGAAATTTCCAGAAAATGGAAGAATTAACAAAATTCCAAAAACTTGGCATGGTGCCTTGAATTGGTAATATAAGCTTACACAAAAATATTTGGGTCCATTCGATGATGCCAAAAAAATTACTCTCATACGGATCCTTCTCACCTAATTGAAGACTCCCGTTGAACATGGTCTATTTTTGTACATGCATAAAATGACGTGAACTTTTTCGAGCAGATGGGCATGTCCATATTAGGCATCCATGCCAGGCTTGAACATTTTTCGACACCGTTGTCTTGGATATTGTTTATTCAAAAATAGTTAACAACTAATTTCTATTGACAGCTTATTTCTATTCAAGCAAACATGTCCGACACTTGGTAGACATGACCTACTACTGTCCCGGGGCTGAACTAAACTGCGAGGAGATAAGACAATATGTTTCATGGCTTGATGATCTTCATACTATCAAGACAAATTATTTTCCTGAACTTGAAAATCTTAGTACTCAAAACATGCGACCAATAGTGTTCGTACTGAACTACGTTCACATCTATTTAGGAAAGATGTAAGATTTTTATATTTTGTCCTCAGTGCATCTTTTGCATATATTATTTTTTAAGCTAAACTTCATTGCTAAGTATGTTATTACGATGTTATTCAACAGAGACTCCCGATGATAGTTGTGCCTCAGTGGATCAAGGTTAATGGTCGCATGTCCGTGGTTAGCTTACGGCCAAGACATCCTAGATTACACATGAGTGCATTTAGGATTTCTAAAAGCGAGCAAGTCTTAATAGTCAAAGACTGGAGCAAAATTGTGAAGGATCGCAGAGAAGTACTAGGGGGCAGCAATCAGAAGCGCGTCCCACAATTAGGAGTCAGGTTCATCTGCATGCTCCAATATGATGAATCAGGAGTGCTACACATGTTCTATGTTATTTTACCTGAGAGAGAGCAGCAGGAGTGATTAGCTAGCTAGAATGAGTGTTGGTGGTGATGACTATGATGATTATTATTAGCTAGTGTTGGGGGTGATTAGATAGTTGCACTATGACTATGATGATTAAATAGTGTTGGTGGTGATAACTATGATGATTATTAGCTAGTGTTGTTGGTGATGATATGATGCAAGAGTTTTATTAATATGATGATGATGAGTTATTATATCATTGGGCGAAAGAACCGCGGATTAGTTTCAAGTGGATGGATCCTAAGTGATCAAGTCATGGATTATCGTGATAATCCATGACTTGGTCACTTAGGATCCATCCATTTGAAACTAATCCATGGTTCTTTCACCTAGTGATTTAATAACTCATTATAATGTAAAAACAATCTCTAAATTGCTACTGTATGAAAACTTGTATAAATATGAATACGACCTAAAGTGAAAAAGAAATAGAATACAGAATAATAGTAGTAGAACGGGCAGTGTGAAGCGCTACTAGAAATTACCAGTAGTAGCTGTTGAAGCACGCGCTACTACTAAATAGATATAGCAGTAGCATGTGTCAACAAACGGTACTGCTAACCTTTAGCTGTAGCACCTATCAGTAGCACGGTTGCCCGTGCTACTGCTAGGCTTTTCCCTAATAGTGTAATGCAATAAAAACGATGACATGATGTAGACAAGTTCTATTTATGTAGAAATAGACCCCATCTTGCTAAACCTTTCTGTCACTGGGATCAAGCACCGTAAGATCGAACCCATTACAAAGCACCTCTTCCCATTGCAAGATAAATAGATCAAGTTGGCCAAACAAAACCCAAATATCAGAGACGAAATATGAGGCTATAATCAATCATGCATATCAGAGATCAGAGAAGACTCAAATAATTTTCATGGATAAAAACATAGATCTCATCATAAACTCAAAGTTCATAGGATCCCAAAAACAAACAACAAAAGGAATTACATCATATGGATCTCCAAGAGACCATTGTATTGATAATCAAGGGAGAGAGAGAAAGCCATCTAGTTACTAATTATGGACCCGTAGGTCTACAAAGAACTACTCACGCATCATTGAAGAGGCACAAATGGACATGATGAACCCCTCCGAGATGGTGTCTAGATTGGATCTGGTGTTTCTGGACTCTACCGCGGCTGGAATTGATTTTCGTCGATTCCCCTAGGGTTTTCAAAATATTGGGGTATTTATAGATCAAAAAGGCGGTGCGGGAGGCCAACGAGGAGAGCACAACCCACCGGGGCGTGCCTGGGCCCCAGGCGTTCCCTGGTGGTTTGTGCTCCCCTCAAGTGCGTTCCTGGCCCACTAGATGTCTTCTGGTCCAAAAAATCCACAAAAATTTTCACCGCGTTTGGTATTGGTTTCCTGTGATGTAAAAAACATGTAGAAAATAGCAACTGGCATTGGGCCCTATGTCAATATGTTAGTACCAAAAAATGATATAAAATGAGTATAAAATGATCGTAAAACATCCAAGAATGATAATATAACAGCATGGAACAATAAAAAATTATAGATATGTTGGAGCCGTATCAGCATCCTTAAGCTTAATTTCTGCTCGTCCTCGAGTAGTTAAATGATAAAAATATAATTTCTGATATGGAATGCTGCCTAACTTGTTCATCACATAATCTTTTCTTTCTAGCATGAACATTTGGACTTTTATATGGTTCAAAGCAATAGTCTTGTTTTGACATGAAGACTTTAGTACTCAAGCATACCAACAAGAAACCATGCCTTTCAAAATATCAAAACTAAAGAAAGTTATCCCTAACCCATTATCACTGGTACAGCGAGGCGCTATACAAACGATTTTTAACCCCTGTCCGTGACGGCGTTCGAAACCATCACCTAGTGAGTGTGGGCGATTAGGGGGTCCTTCCCACGCGACCCAGAAACCGTCAGGGATATGCCCTCCTGGCACACACGCTCAGCAAAATGAGGTTATGTGCGACCGGCGAGTGAGAAAATACGGTTATACATACAGTAGTGCTCAAAAAACTACAATTATACAGGCGAAATCATTTCCGGTCATAAGTACATCCCACACAGTGAGTCCTCGCGAAATGTTTTCGTTCGTATATACATCCCACACAGTCGTTGCAAGGAAAACGTTTCCGTTCGTAGGTACATCACACACAATTTTTCCCATTAAATCATTTGTGATAGCGTTCCCATCGCGTACAATATTAAAAAAATATCGTTTGCGTTATTGAATGCATCACACATGGTGTGTAGAAGAAACTATGTGGCAAAGACTGTCCATCACACACAGTTTTTATGCGGTAAACGTTTGCGCAAGGTGGCCTAACGCAAATAGTTTTTAAGAGAATGTCGTGTGTGATTGTTCATTGATTCAACACGGTTTATTCCTAGAAACTGTGTGCGTTGCCTTAGGTCATCGCCCACGGTATTTTCTCACTAACCGTTTGCAATAGCAAAAACCAATTAGCAGGCTAATTCATCACTAGTAGGCTAATTCATCATTAGCAGGCTAATTGCCCTATTATTAGTAATCCATTTATTAATCTAATTGACCTTCATATTAAACACATAATATATTTCATTCCCATATTAAGGAAGTAGGATTTCATAATTGAAATACATTAGAGCACAACATGATATAGCTTCAGCACTCAGCTACCCCATTACACAACTGCACTAGCACCAAGTTTCACATGGCCTTCCGTAATTAGCATCATATATGGTACATAGACAGATGCATCTCATCGGGAAAACTGCTGAAGCGGAAGGCTAATATTGAGCCTTCATTGATGTTGAAGGTCTTTGCAACTTTAAGCCAGTGCCTGTGGATGATTGACCGTCCATCCTTCGTCCTCTTCGGGAACACTTCAATATTGAACCGTGGGTGTTGTATGAAAACCTTCCTCTTCAGGAACACTTCGTCCTCTTCAGGAACACTACAGATGCACCAGCACCAAGCATTGTTCATCCACAAACACACTCTCATGTCGATGAATCAGAGATTGTCGACAGACAAGACGAGAAGGAACAAGTGGTGAACATATTGCTCAAGCACAACAACAGTTCCAATAACAATGTCATGGTGCTCCCCATAGTTGGTATGGGGGGGGGATCGGTAAGACTACCCTTGCCCAACTTGTGCACAATGATCAGAGGGTGAAGCATCATTTTGAGTTGGTCATATGGGTCTGTGTCTCTAACAAGTTCGTTATCGAAGAAATTGTTCGATCTGTAATACAAGTTGACATGATGAACAAGTGTGAATTGACTGAGATGGAGGCACTGCAGAAGAAGCTTGGTGAAGTGTTGGGCAATAATACATACCTCCTAGTGTTGGATGATGTTTGGAATGAAGATAGACAGAAGTGGGATGATATGAGATCTTTGTTATGCTCACATGCTGGCTCAGGCAATGCTATAATTGTTACAAGCCGCAGCTATCAAGTTGCTTCTATCATGGGCACAAATCCTCCACATCAGATATCACTTCTAAACAAGGATCGGTCATGGCAGCTTTCTCGCAAAAACACATTTGGAAGGGAAGTGGAGAAGCAAGAGGAATTAATTTCAGAGTAAGAGTATTGTCCACAAGTGTAACTGATTGCCTCTTGCTATTAAGACTATAGCAGCTTTACTTCGTTCGAAGAATCAGAGTCAGTGGTTTTCTGTCGTGGATAGTGATGTATGGAGGAGTGACATCATCGCAACTGGGGTTGTACCTGCACTACAGCTGAGCTATGATCACTTGTCATCAGAAGAGAAAATATGTTTTCCATCTGTGTTATTTTCCCCAAGGATAGCCCGATAGATAAAGACATGTCAATCCATCTTTGGGTGGCAAATGACTTTATTGCATCAGAAACAAGAGGCCAACAAATTTTCAATATGCTAGTTTGTAGATGTTTCCTCCAAGACGTGAAGATTCAAAAGGATCTACTCTCTGCGTATGAAGATGAGGAAATCCACCGACCAACTACTTGCAAGGTGCATGATCTTGCTGACTCCATAAGCGGAAATGATTGCTCCATTCTGCAAGAATCTTCACCACATCAGGAGATTCTGCAAGGATTCACAGCTGCTAGATCATTACAACATGAGGCTCAACATTTGTCACTTCATTATGTCAGTAATCAAGCTATTGCAACCATGGAGGAAATTCTAGCTACCCGGGCCCGCACGATATTAGTCCAAAGTGAGTGGCTTCGTGGTGATAAAGCCAAGTTTCTAAGTATGACCAAGTCAAAATTTATGTCCTTGCGAGCACTGAAGACATTCTGAACGGAGGGACATATGAAAAACTTGAAGCATCTTTGCTATCTAGATTTTTCTCACTCTAGTGTACATGCATTGCCTAAAGCCATTACCATCCTGTATAGCTTGCAAACATTGAACCTCATTAGTTGTGCATGGCTGGAGAAATTACCAGAAGGCATGAAATATATGAGAAGTCTTCGACATATCTTCCTTGTTGGGTGTAGAAGATTGGAGCGCATGCCAGAGGGTATTGGTCAGCTGAATTCTCTACATACATTGACAAGTTATGTCATTGATAGTGATGTAGGTCGTGGAATTGATAAACTGAAAGATCTGAATCTAAGTGGTGCTCTTTCTTTGTTTGAGCTGAGAAAAGTGCATGCTGCAGAAAATGCTAAAGAAGGCAACCTGTCTACCAAACATAATTTGAAACGATTTTCACTCAATTGGGAACGTCAACCTTACAGTACTTGTATTCAATATGCAAATGCTAAAGCAGAAGCAATATTAGAGGCCCTTCTTTCCCACAAAAGGGTTGAAATTCTAGTGTTACATAATTACACTGGTGCTACATTGTCATCATGGATGCACAACTCTACAGTGTTAGAGCATCTCGGTGAACTTACTCTGAGAGACTGCATGAATTGCGAGGATCTTCCACCATTATGGCGGCTGCCCTCCCTCGTGTACTTGCGTTTGAACGGTTTGCATAGCTTGAAAAGTATATGTGTTGGCACTGAAGATACTGACATCAGGGAATCCAATACTTCTAGGCCACCCTTCTTTCCTAAATTGGAACATATGATAATTACCGACATGGATGAACTAGAGCAATGGCACCAGGAGGTGCCAGGACAAGTGGCAGATGTATCATTCCCTCTGCTCAAGAAGCTGTATATTTCTCTATGCCCAATAGCAAGCATGCCCAAGATGCTCCCTTTACTAGAAGAACTAGTGGTGAAGGGCCGAAGTTGCATTCCCCTTCACCATATGTTTAATCTCTCAGTGCAATCTAATCTTCAGTGCAAAGGCATAGTTGATATGCAACCTACATATAGTTGGCGGATGATGGACCTTCATTTCTCAAGGCTTGGTGACTCTAGAGTGAAATTGAGGCCTAAAGGCTTCGCAGAAAATATAGAGCTCTTTGACGAGGAGCTGAAAATAATACCTTGCAGATTTATTAAGGCTGTGGATATAGTAGATTGCAATTGCCTTTTCTCACTTGAACCATCCCAAATACAACGGAATATATGGAAGCATTTTGGTTTTGTTGAAAGAATGGAGATTAGAGGCAACAATAGTATAGTACAATGGCCAGCGATAGAATTCAGAAGCTTGAGTTGTCTTCGAGTTCTAAATGTGCTTGGTTGTTCCAACTTAACTGGTTCACTTCCGTCAACAATATCTGTTGATGAAAATGCCATGCCTCCTCGACTCCAGGATCTTGAAATCAAAGAATGTGAAAATTTGGTGGACGTACCAAAGTTGTCTGCATCTCTTGCAACATTGTTGATCTGGTATTCTCACAAGCTGGTGTCCATGCCAGCAATTATGGGGAACAACAAAAAATGCTAGAACTCAGTGTGCATGAGTGCGATGCCCTGACAACATTTTCAGATGGAATGTATGGAGTCACTCCGCACAAGTATCTAGTAAAGGATGGGTGTCCAGGGGTAGAGACATTGCCGGAGGGACTCCTCCAGCAGCTCCCAGCCCTTGAGAGACTGTGTATCGTATGTTGTCCCAACTTGGAGGTGGCTTTCTCAAAACAAGGCGCATACTGGAATTTGGTTGAAGCAATTCCACAGAGAACAGTTGGCTAGGCCATGCGCTGAATCAATGCTTAGGTTTTTTCTTTTTCTTTTTTTGCGGGGGGAATCAATGCTTAGGTCGCATGCGTTTGTGTATCCCGGCCTCATGTGGTTATGAGTTCCAATGGGGTATATATAGCCTCTTATGCTTACCATGTTCTCTAGTTCTCTTTACCAAGATCCAGAACTCATAGCAATTTGTAACTCAACTTCAGTTTATTAATCATATATAGCTGCATCGATCTGTGTAATCTATTTGGTGTCTTCATAGTTCTAGAGCATCTGTATAGTTCTAGAGCTCCTTGTTTTCATCCGGTCGAGTTGCCTTCTCGACTCTTTTTCCATGCTTTATATTGACTCTCTGAAGTGCTTTTATTTCACGCTTTCCGAATGTTGAGGACCAACATGCCATGTTTAGAGAGCCCAACCAAACTGTGACGAGTAAACCCAGCTTGTTGTAGTATAAACAGTTGAGTGTTTTGCACATCGGGGGTGACGGTGAACCCAAGCAGTGTGTTGCAGCCATCGGTTGTGGCAGTGGGTGTAGTGAGTGCGCACCCAAGCAGCTGTTAGACTGTCAGTAACAGGATATCAAAAGAGACGGAGCTGTAGCACAACAGTTTCCTCTCTTCATGTTGCTCTGTTTTTCCTCTGTTATTGTTTCCCTGTGTGCAGTGTCCATTTGGTTGAGCAGTTGCAGCCGGCAGTGCGTATGAAATTCAGCAGAGAGTCCAAATTGTACAAACATTAGCAATACAGCCAGTTGTGAAAATTCTCTTTGAATATGAAATTCTCTCAGTCTCTCAGGGGCTTTTATTTCACTCTCTTTGAATATACGTATCTACAGAGCCAAAACTGCCAGAGTAAACCGTGTTGTTGCAGCCACGTAGTGGGAGTGTACCAAAGCGGCTGTACGTAACTGGACATGAAAAGCAAGCGATTGTATAATGCTGGTTCAGTCTGCCTTGAGTGAAAAAAGAAGAGCATCGAATTTGTTGGCTGGAGCACAACCGGCCGGGTCTTGTTGCTCTGTTTCTTCTCCGTTCTCACCTGTGCGCCCATTTCGTCGAGCAGCTCCATCGCGTATCCAAAGTCCGCCAACACCAGTGAGATAGCAAAGAAGGCGGCCAACAGAAATAAATTGTGTTTCTAAACCCGACCAATATGTTGAAGACCATTTCCCCTCTAAAATTCCTATCTATGTTGTTCGTTCTATTTTTGTTGACAGGTGGACTAGTTCGTCCACTGTCACTATTCTCTGCCCGATGACAAAGGCTCTGAGGATCGTTTTTTTTTTTGGGGGCCAAATCAGGGGTATCGCATCATTGGTGGACCGGGTTATGTTGCTCTGTTTTTCCTTGGTTCTCTCCGCAAGGAAATAGCATGAAAATCATTGTTGACGGGGGACTATCACACACACGATGGCAAGTCAGGTGCAGAGGTGGCGATTTGCAGAGATGAGACCCTACGAGCTTAGAAGCGCTAGCATGCAATGAGGCGTTGGCACTTGCCCAAGATCTGAAAACCTGAGATGTGGTTATCGCGGAGGTTGTCAATAGTATCAACAAGTGTTCCGAACATCATTTGTATTCCACTGGTACATTGTGCATGTTGAATAAATTCCCTAGTTCACCTTAAAAAAATGACCGCGGATGCCATCTTGGAGAGGCCCTTCAGTTACGACTTCACGCACACACGCGGGGCACAGTGTCGGCGGCTGCAACCGGTTGGCTTTTCTCCTCGCGACCGCCGGAACCAGATGAGGGACGGCCACCGACCATGTGCCATGCTGTTGCTAATACGTTAGCCGGCGAGGCCGCATCAACGAGACGAGAAGCTGATTCCAAATAAGGTACTTTTCCCTAGCAATTTTACTTTCCCATGATAATTACCAAAAAGTTATAAATGATAATCAATGATCCATCTTCATAATTGTCGTAGGGCATTGATAATTAATTGATTGCCCGTGGTCACGTAGATATTGTCTGGTCATAGTGGGGAGTAAGTTAGACCAGTAAGTTAGACTAGTCTATGTTACTACCTTCATAATGGATAGTAACATATGGATGATAACATGCAAACCTTCATTAATTGAGATATATAGACTCATTTTACCTCGGGGTGTGTTATGTTACAGTAAAATATTATGTTAAGCTAGTGTCGGGGGCGTGATAATTAATAAGATTTTCCATCGAGTTAAGATGGTGTTTTAAAAGCATTGCCTTATTTTCAAATACCAAGGGCATGTCCAATGTAGAGGCCTCGATGTGATGCTTAGGGAAAATATATAGAAAAATTATTATTACGGGGCATCTGTGTAAGAGTCACTACGTCCCGTGCTAGTTGCAATGTATATATACTTTCCCATTAAATTGATTGGATTGCGTCTGTTCTTTGCTATATTCTATGAAACACACAGATGCAAGCACTAGTCCAAGAAAAGAAACTACTCCATGATTATGGTTAATCTATTTTTCTCTTCGTAGTGAGTAAAACAACTTCATCGGGTGTTGGGCGTAAGATTGAATATTTTGGATCAAACATAAAGCAGGAAAGACGGCTAGAAAATCGGTCCCGAGGGCATGATCTAAGGGACCCCGAGCTCTAATCTTGCCCCGGGCCCCTAAAATA